CAAATTCTACTGGCACATAAGAATGTGAACAGTCCCTTCAGGTTTGCCCCACTGATCATTTCCCAAAAATTATAAACAGACTACTCAAAGCTTTAAGAAGACTTTCTGCTGCTAACAGGTTCTGCTTCTTGTTCTCTGGGACGTCTGAAAATTGTAAATCCAGATTATTTTTGGCACAAAGACTCCAAAGTAAACATAAGTATTGGTAACAAAATTTAGATGACTGAGGGGCAGCATCTCAGAACACACATTCATTCACATGCCTTTTTCATGCTGACGTTTTTCATCTGGGAAGTACTTCCTCACTGACAAATGAGGGGTGAACTCACATTTCTCTGCACTCTGAGACTTAGGTTGGCAATTATCAGGCAAAGTAATCTCTGATGTCAACTTCAGGGCCCTACATCCTGACAGGTGCTCCTGACTATGGCCAATGCGGTTCGCCTTTCTGCTACAAACACCATCACAGCAAAAAGTGGAATCTCTAGTATTTAATATCTTAGGTAACTTAGTCTAAAATCCTTTTATGGAACTCAACTTGGCCAAAAGAAATTACCCACCCAAAAAAGAAAAAAAAAAAAAAAAGAAAGAAAGAAGACAATATATATAGTACATTAAACCAAAAACCAAATCAAACCCACTGCTGTCGAGTCAATTCTGACTCATAGCCACCCTATAGGACAGAGTAGAACTCCCCCATAGGGTTTCCAAGGAGTGGCTGGTGGATTCGAACTGCCAACCATTTGGTTAGCAGCCAAGATCTATTAGAGGTCACTAAAGCCTAAAGAATATGTACTATATACATATTCTTATATGGTCTATACAGTGTCATATATATAATACACTACTATACTTGGGTGGCATTAATCTATTGTTTGTAGTGTTTAGTCCCTAGTGGTGCAGGTTAGCAGCTATGGATGCTGACCAAAAGGTCAGCAGTGTGAATCCACCGGCTGTTCCTTGGAAACCCTATGGGGCAGTTTTACTCTGTCCTATAGCGTTGCTATGAGTCGGAATCAACTCGATGGCAGCGGGTTGGGTTGGGTTGGGTTTGGTTTTAGTGTGTAGTCATTCATGAATTGGAAATAAAATTTGAAAACACTTGCAATATAGTTAGGAAAAGTGATTTGTGACTCATTCTAAATTATGACAGAAGGGAAATAGAAAATCAGCACAACTATAAGCGGAAAAATGGGTTTTGACTATTTCTTTCAGGCAGTATATGCCACAGAGCAGAGACGGGGAGTAAAAGATAAGAATTTAATTACAATCAGCTCTTAGCTTTTCTAAACCCGCTGGCATTGTGATAGATACAGTCTGTCTTTTTCTACCTCAAGTAATCTCAGCTACCAAAAAAAAAAAAAAAAATCAGTTTTGTCAACTACGATTTGCTTCCAAAGTTATTCTCTTTCAAATTTATATTCTTGGAAGGTAGTTAATAACAGGAAATTCAAAGACAAATATATAAAGTTCACAGTGGCCAAAAATTAAGATGTGCAAAGTTCATTCTGTCCTTCAAGATTATAACATGAAAGCTAAATAGCTGAATATACACATTTTTAGTCCTTGGGCCTGTATTATTTAACAACATATCAAACTCAAAAAAATTAATCATATTTAAATTAACAACTTACTACAAAGTAAAAATCAGTGATTTCAAAATCCTGATTCAGCTGACATAAAAGTTCCATCAACAGGGTGTATCTGAATCCTATATCCAATTTAATATGTACAATCACACACATTTATTTATATAGGGTTGCTTAGGGTCACTATGAGTTAGAATCAACTCGATGGCAATGGGTTTAGTTTTTTTTTTTTTTTATATGAACTTATAGTTATGCTTTTATATTTCTTTGTAGGAAACTCTGTTGGATTTTGTTGGAAATCAAAGCAGAAATCCTTCCTGGTGAATGAAGTCTAAGTGGACCAATTCTTTTTTTAGCATAAAGAAAATACACTGTCACAAAATCATGCTATTTGGAAATGATTCTTGAAATTGGCTGCACTTGCGTGGCTACACAATTTCTTATCAAGCTAAATAAACATGGTTAATTCTGGTGGTTATCCACATGGCACACAGAAACATTCTGACTTCATTTTATCGTGATAAATTTATCATTGCTTTCCTAGAGCAAGAGTACACTTTCAGCATGATGCTGTATATATAGATTGGCAAATATAAAGCTTCTTTAGGCTTCTTTTTTTAAGTAACCATTTGTGAATATTTATTAAGGTTTTTAAAGTTTTAATTTAAAAAAATGCCCAGGATATAAAATATCTTAATTCCTTATCTCCACACTAGTTTTGTGCATGACTTCATATTCTTTGACAATCAGCCATGGTTCATGTGTTTGTACAGATCCCATATAAATCATGTTTTGCACATTTTGACATGAAATAATTAGAACTAAAACTACCAATTAGAGTTAAAAGGGCATGTTATTTTTTTGACTCTTAATTTTAGGGTTGGAGTATAGTGCTCTGGGTGGAGGAAGGAAAACAAGTCACATGACATAAGGCTGATGAGCTTGAACATGGGTTTACAGCCAGGAATGCATTGATTTTATCTTTTTGGCATACAGAGAATAAAAAAAAAAAAATCAGAAATCATAAAAAAAAGGAAGAAGAAGGCAATTTAAGTGCCATTGCCTGTTTAAAAGGAGGGTATCGCTGGAGTACTATGAGAAACACTGAAGCATGTATCACAAACCACATTTCATGAATTTTTATAATACACCAGAAAGAACGCTGGTCTGGGATTGTGGGCTGTGTGACCTTGGGCAAGTCACTTAACTTCTCTGTGTATCTGTCCCTTTGATTAAATAATCTAGGGTCCAATCCAGCTGTAAAATGGATAGTCTCTCTTCCAGGTTAAAATTTGTCAAAGATTTTAACATTTTCAAGGTATACAAACAAAGATAATGACTAACGATAGGTACAAAGTCCAGGCTCTCATTATGTATAAACCTGGGATACCTACAATGTTGAGGTGAACAGTTTACTTATTTTTTTTTTAAATCAGTTTTGTGAAAAGGAAATGAGCATTCTGAATACAAACTTACGTCTATCTTGAGTGAATACAATAAAATAATTGTAAACACTAGGAAGCAAGAATTAAGTCAGAGCTAAAAACTATAAATTAGTTTACTTTTGTAAAAAGGATTTTCTGTATTTAAAGCAATGAGAACTATGGCTAAAGTTTTCATAAAAACAAAGCCTACTCAAGGATCTTGAAGTCTGGTTGATGGGAGATATGGAGACATCTGGGCAAAAGTCTCTTTTTTCAGTCCCTTAGCCATAAAATGGACCAATATTAACTAACATAGAAGATAATAGGGATTTAATGAAATTTGAGGTAAATTTGCAAGAAGCAAATTCCAACTTTGTGCTTGCAGTTGGCTTTTTGCCGGCGTATCAAAAGCTTTAACTGGGCCTAAAACCACTGGCCAGGTATTATTTTGCAACATTAAGCCTCATGCCTTTCACCATTCCTCATTTCACATACTTATGGCTCATGTTCTAACCAGCGAAGGATGCTGTAATGATGAGTCTCCTGGAGTGTTGGGCCTCTTGCAAAGATAAGGAAGGGGATGTGGAGAGAAGGGATGGTATTGAGTTGCCATGCAGAGTTCCAGCTGAGTCCCTTTATTTTAAGGTGGGTGGGGTAAGGGAGACGTGGAGGACAGAGTGTCCTGAATAGGCAAGCTTACCTGTCATTTTTATTATATAATTACATGCTTGTCAGCTTACTAGCTTTGTGAGGGTGGGAAGAGTGTGTTATTCTTCTTTGCATCTCCAATGTTCAGCATGGTGCATGGCACCCAGTAGACGTTTACTGTATATTTATAAAAGGCACGAATATGCGTGAATATATTAACTTGTTAATATATTCAAATATTTTACATATGTATACATTAACATGTTAATATACTCATATATTTACAAAAGGCTTAAATACAAGACCCCCCATCTCCTGCAGGATTCTTTTCTTCCACTAGTGTCTTCCGTTTGGAAATTAATTGGGTTAAGAAGTTCTTTATTTTAAAACTTTAATGGCTCCCTGAGTTTTCCCACCCCACCTTGGGATGAATTACTTTGATCTAACAATCTGGAAGATTGCCTGAGTTTCTCTGTTCACCTAATAGGAATTTAGATTGGAGACAAGGGCTGCAAAAGGCAGACCTCTTGGAGTTGGGGACTTTGGACTATTGAAAGCAGTATTATAGGGCTGCTAGACCAAGGAATCAGTTGCTATCAAGTCAACTTCAACTCATGGAGACCCCGTGTGTGTCCCTGGGTAGTGCAAATGGTTAATGCTCTTGGCTACTAACCAAAAGGTTGGAGGTTCGAGCCCACCTAAGAAAGGCCTTGGTGATCTACTTCTGAAAAATCAGCCATTGAAAACCTTATGGAGCACAGTTCTACTCTGACACACACGGGGTCACCATGAGTCGAAACTGACTCGACCGCAACTGTTTTTAGACCAAGCAAAGTGCATAAAGTGTTCAAGAGGAGATTACAAAGTAGGCAAGTGGTTACCATTACAAAAATTCTACTTTCCAAGTCCATCTAGAGGAAACTGATGGCACAGCCACTCCAGCCTTTTATAATTTACTCAGCTACACTATTCCAGTCTGGTTAGCTGTGCTTCATGTGTTAAAGCCCAACTCCTGCTTCTTGCGATTGGGAGGAAGATGAGAGAGAAGGAGAAAGGAAGAGAAGAGAACAGAGACTATGTCCTATGACCTCCTGTCTTCCCCTTGTCCTCTTTATTATCAGTGTGCTCCAGTATCCAGCATACTTTTATGAAATTTCTCAACCTCACAGAATATTTAGAGTATGTTACCCTGCTCTTCCTCACCACCCTCCATGACAAGCGTCTTTTTGACAACATGCTGTTAGCCTGTTCTGATGCAAGAGCTTGGCTGAGGTAGTCCAAGCTTTGAACATAGGCTTTGCACCCAAAAGTCTATCATGGGTTGTTATAAATTACCTACCCGCCTTCCTCTGAATACTTATGCCCAAACGCCAGGATGTCAGATGCCCGTCCGCTCCCGTCACAGACAACAACAGGCACGGGAGGTGTGTCTCGAAGGTACTCCAGAACAATGGAGATCACGTTGGGTCCTCCTTCCACAATGAGCGCCACCACTGGAACGCCTTGACCGATTCCTGTATTAAAAAAGGAAAAGAAAAGGAAAAAAAGAGAAAAGAACACAAAGCCAGCAAACCAAAGAAACAAAAAGAGAAAAAGCACAAACTAAAATTACTGAGCGCAGGAAGGCAACAACATATGAAGGGATAATAATACTCAGGGAAAATTTACAGAAAATCCTTTAGCAGAATTTCTCCACTAGAGTCTGCTTGACATCGCCCTCCCCCAACCGTCCGGGGGCGCTGGGTCAGTCAAGGCATTGAATAACATACTTTATGGGAGAGGGCCTAGGTGAGGAGGGAGCGGAAGGAACTGGTCAACAGATACAGTGCTGGGCCGGGAACCAAGAGATAGGAAGCTAAATGCAGTCTTAAGCAAGTTCTCCGCAATCCAATGCTTCAGCTTCCCTACATGAAAAATGAGAAGTTACAAAAAAATCTCTTCTACCTCAAGTTATTAGAGTGATAAGAAAATGCCTAAATGTCTCTTTATGAGTCGACTATTAGCGGGCTTGTTGGTTATTTATTTCTGACCATGGACGATCAGCTTGATCATTGATTCTTAGTAGCATAATAGTCCTAATAAATTACCCCAGAGACACGCATCGGCCATGTACCATTAGTGAATCCTTCACTGCTGAGCAAGGCGCCAGTCACATGATGGTGTTCAGTAAAGATTTGTTGAATTCAGTTGAATTAAAGCTTTTTTCTTTTTTTTTAACCAACCTTTCCTAAAGTATTTAAGCAATTTATGATGAACCATAAGAAATTGCTGCTTTCAGGTAAAAACTGAGATTTCAGCACTTACATATGGTTCAACCTAACGTATTAAAGAGAAGTATTAGAAACGAGTGTCCATATGATGAGAAAGAAGTTAAATTCATTTTCAAGTGAATATGTCATCATTGTTTACTGAATAACTTCCTTCTGTTTGATTTAGCATTGTGCACTATGTTCTCACTCCAACTCCTCAGAATAGTTAGGGAATTAAGTCAGAACTATAAAAATGAGACTGTTTTGTAGGGCATAGAAAGCAGTTAACTAAAAAAAGAAATAAAATACTGTACCACTTCTGTAAACATGAACCAATAAGCCCTTAGGAAATTCATTCTCTTCCTCCCTGTTTTGCTATGGTTTTATCTTGTATCAAGACATTGTTTCCCAGTGAGAAAATAATAGTTTGTGATTTGGTTTCTTGTACCATTCATAAGAGACTTGATGTGACCTGCTTTACTTCTGAAGTATAAGTACTTCAGTCTTCTAGGGCCTTAAGTCACTGTTTTTCATGCTTTGATTTTCATCTTAAGGGACTGGTCCAAAAAGCCAGTTACATAAAAATGGGTGCCATTTTGAATCTATATTAAGAAAACAATGTTGATCAAGGTAAGATGCCAAGATTTCTTTTTGTTCCCCAGGAGGAACTGGGAGAGAGAGGTGACCTATGGTGCCATCGGGATTTTCTGTGGATGGGGAGGTATTGAGAGTCACTCCTTCAAATCCACGAAGGGGGATGTGAAAAAGTCTTGCCACTCTCTTTTGATCCAGAAGCCCTTAGTGACCCAGACAATAGGTCTCTGTAAAGCTCTGCTTGGTTGTCTGTCAAAGAGACACTTTCCTCCATTGCTGTGGATTATGAGGGTTAAGTAGGTTCCTGTTGAAAAGCACTTTGAAGATTAAGGGCTAACTTCAAATGTTAATACAGCACACTTCTTTGGAGAAGGATTTGCTGTATTTCAATGTAGTCATCTAAAACACCCATCCCGCTGTTGATTTGTATTTTTATAGGCCTTGGAAAGGAGCGTCTCTTTTCCAATGTTTAAAGTTATTTTCATGAAGCATTTTCCAAAGTACCATGCTGTTTGATTTTTCTTTTTGCTTGGCTTTATCATATGTTCCTATATTGCTGACTTTAAATCAAGGGACAATATACAATACCCCTTGTTTTATACCAAATTACATATTTAGACTTATTCTAGGATCTTACAATGGAGGCTTTTGCCAAATTCTGACTCTTGAGCACTGACTGATTCTGCGAGTGGGATCCTTACTCCAACTCACACCAACGGTGATCCATTTAGTGTCCTCATGGAGGGAGATGTCCTAGAATGGACCTTCGAGAATGTTCTAGTGACCTCGCATCTACAGGACAACAGGCAAGACGGCTGAGAAATCTCCTCTCCCTTTGAGAGGATACACAGGTACAAAGGATCAATCTTCATAGGCTGTTTAGTTTGAGAGTGAGAAACTGGCAGTTTATTTCCTGCCACTACATTTCTCAACTTATCCAACTGTGATGACCTCTAGAAATACAGAAACACTTTCGGGATGATCAGATTTCCTATATTTGGAATGACACTGATTCTCAAGTAAGATTATGAAAACAACTGTATTAACTGAGAGCTAAATACTAATATATATAAGATACATATCAGTTAAGATGATCAAAACAATTATATTAATCCTGAGCTGAATATATATGTTTATATTTAATGAGTATATATATATATATATAATATATATAAAATGAGTATGCACTCACATACATATATTTTCAGACAAGTCCAGTGCTAAATTTTATATAAAATGGATAGAGAAAAGTATCTACTTTTTCATAAATAGTGAATATGTATATATGCCTTCAAATTCTCTCTCACTTCAGTGATAATACATGGAAATAGTAAAAGCCATTACAGACTAAAAGAAAAGCATTTTTGAGCCTCTTAGTTACACGAGTTATAGTTTGTATAAATTAAACTTGCCAGTATATGGTATCATTAAGCCTTTCTATTGGGACACACACACACACACACAGAGCCTTTGTCTCTGAAAAAAGAAAATCATATCAAATGATC